CCTGAGCTCCCTCCTCACCCTAAGGGGCTTTGGTGGTCCTGATCCCAGTGAGGAGGTGTGATGTGGCCTCCAGGTTCTCAGCTCCCTGCTGGTCCTCAGCGCCCCCTGCAGGCAGGTGAGTGACTGGGCTCACACTGAGTTCCCTCACTGGGTGTCTCCCCGTGGAATACACAGCCATATCGTCAGGTTTCACCCTGTTGAGTGCTAATGAAACCTGGCTCTTGGAAGTGTCCCTGGTGAATCTGACTATCTATCAGGCAGGTCCCAACCCCTGCAGCTGCAGTAGGCCAAGGACACCAGGGAAAGGACAGCATGTGCTCAACTCCATCAAGGAGCACTGAGGACCAGCAGGGACTCAGGACCACGTGTGGAATGGTATCTACTTCCACCTCCATCCATCCTTCTAACCCACTCCAGGCCCCTCCCTGAAGCCTGGTGGGTCCATCTCACACCATAGCTGGGTAGAGAGAATCAGAGTCAGCACAGGTGAGGGACAGGGTGGGCAGGCCTGGCCCCAACTTCTGGACCTACACCTGGGTGGGGACATGACGGGAAGAGCAGGACAACTGGGCACCTCTGACTTTGGGGGGCCTGGCTGTGGGTTGTGGGTGTCACAGACCTCATTATGAGGGAGACAGCTCCCATACAGCAAGGTTCAGTCTGAGTGGTGTATGTCTTCACATTGTGGTCAGGTTTAGGGTTTTCCTTCAGTGCGTCTCAGCTGGGTCTATGGAAATCAGGGTGGGAATGTGGGTTGTATACAAGAGTGAGCTACTCAGACATTAGGATGAGTGAGATGATGGTGAATGGGTGGAGCGGGAGAACATTAGAGCAAGAGAAATAAGAAAAAGTCAGGAAGTCAGGGTTGAGTGTTTTCTCCCTTATATAGAATCTAGAACAAATAAGGAGTATAAGAGCAGGTAGAATCCAAGGAAATAGAAGATATCAGTGGACAACACAGAGGTCACTAAGGGTGAGGGAGGAGGGACAGGAAAAGGGAGGAGCCAGGAGTTAAGTGAGCAGATGTGAATGGCCAGTTCTGTACATGTGTGAGTCCTGCACATGTAGCGTGTTTCATGGTGAGTTTATCATGTAGATATGCATACACATAGTGCTAATTTAATTAAAAAAAGTATAAAATCATGGAATAAAACTCAGTGGGGTAAAGTAACTGAGGAGCAAGAGAGGAACGACAGAGGAGGTACTGGGATAGACTAAGGGCTTTTATATTCAATGAATGAATGGGATTATGTCAAAATGTATCCTGTAGGGCATGATGTAACGTGGGACATGTTGCATCAGAAAAGAGGAAACTTGAGTTTCTGGCTGTTACCCGCTTCCGGGGCCACATGTGGCTAAGAGAGCACCTAGCAATTAGCCAGAAGGCATTGCAGTGGGTTGTGATGAAGACTCCCATCACCTCTAGGATAGGCTCAGAAACCTTCTGCCCTCACGGACAGCTCCTGTCTCCCATTACTGCCTGTAGGATGGGTGTAGATGTAAGTTCTCCCCACCCAGCTGACCTTCACCCTGATTGGTTCCTGTACATTGTATTAGCTGTGTGTGTTTTCTCATTAAATGAGATCCTGCTTTGACTGTTCTCCCTGGCACATCAGCAAGGGAGGGCTGGGTGCGGGTGGCCAGTCTACGTTTACTTTTCTTGGCTCATCCTAAAAACCCCGACAGTATCCCGATCAATATATGCAAGATGCACTATTTAAAAAGAAAAACTACATCACAAAAACAAAATAATGATCTTCAGACAAATCAAAAATAAGCATAGACCACAAGGCCACAGAGCTCCCCTGGAAACCTGGTACACAGAGAGGCCCCCAGATGCAGGAAACCAGTCCTCAAACCCACTCTGCACCTGCTCCTGTGCTGCAGTCTGGCTGGGCACACAATCACGAGCCACCACACAGCTTGTAGATTCAAACAGCAATTCTTTATTCCACAACTCACACCAGCACTCTACAAACACGTTCTGGGGAAATCCACATTCTCTGCCCAAATCCACCCCCATTGGGCTTTTGTCTCCCAAAAAATACTGTCTGAATCCCATGAGAACTCAAGGGGAACTCAGGCAGCAGGATATGCCCTATTCCCAGCAGGAATAACCTTAAACCTGGAACGCCCTAAACCTGGATTATCCTAAACCGGGAACACCCTAAACCCGGATCCGCCCTGGTCCTTGAGCAAGGTCACCTTAGATGCAATGTCACTGCAAAATGTCCTATTTCCACGAGTCCTTCCACTAAGCAACATGGGGTACGCTGGCAAGGAAATTGTCATACCTACTTGGCTAATGGCTCCCAGCACTCCTGGGTGACCCTGAGCTCCCTGTGTGCTGAGTGTCCCCTGCTGGCCCTGGGCGCCCTGCAGGAGGTTTGTGTCTGGGCTCACACTGAGGTCCCCTCACAGTGTGTTTGACACAGTAATAGATGGCCATGTCCTCGACCCTCAGACTGCTCATTTTCAGGTACAGTGTGTTCTTGGAATTGTCTCTGGAGATGGTGAATTGGCCCTTCAAGGAGTCAGCATAATAAGTATAACTGCCATCAGTACTAATGGATGAGACCCACTCCAGTTCCTTCCCTGGAGCCTGGCGGGCACAGGTCATCCCATAGCTACTGAAGGTGAATCCAGAGGCTGCACAGGAGAGTCCCAGGGAACCCCCAGGCTGCACCAGGCCTCCCCCAGACTCCACCAGCTGCACCTCACACTGGACACCTGCAAACACAGAGGCAGCCTGGTCAGGACACTGGCACTCATCCACTCTTCCTCTCACTCCTGTCCACTCACACACTCAGGATCTCTGGTTCTCCATTCATTACTTTGAAAACAGCCACCAGGGAAACCCAGCTGAACACACTCTCCATGGTGAGTAGCTGTGTTCAGTCCTGGTCACTGAGTGGGCTGAGCTGGGAGTCCAGGGCTGGGCTCCTGTGCAGAGCTGCAGGGTCAGGTGGGCTGGTTTTCATGAGCAGAGGGAGGCCCTATTTGCATGTCCTCCTGCTATATAGCAGCTCTGGGTGGAGGCCCAGGTAGAGCAGCTCTGAGGGCAGATGGGAGTGTCATGGGCAGCATGGTAGACAGAGGAGCATTCAGGAGGGGAGAATTTCTTTTATTTTGATTTTAGAGCCCACTATCTTATTTTATTTAATATAAACACATATTCATATGGTGGAGGTGGCTGTGCTAACTCCCTGGTGCAGATGTAAAATCACGCAGAATCACTAGTGCTGGTTCGCTGTGTACAACAGCTCATTTGTGGCAAGATTGACTGGTTTTCTGGTCTTTTGCTTTCACCCTGGACACGACTGCTGCCCTGACCCTCCTCCAGCTCCCAGGTGCACACACCTGGTGAGGTCCTCAGAACTGTCCTGCAATGGAAATGCGCTGTGTCTTCTCCCCTCTGCTGCCACCTGCTCTCCAGGGAGGGCGCTCAGCTGAGGGCCTCAGAGGCTCCCTGCATTGGAAAGGCTATGCCTCCCTGTGAGAGCCTCCTTCAGCTCAGGAGCATCCAGTTGGCACAGAGTCGTCAGGTACACATGCTGCTGCCATCTGTTGTGGGCACAGGGCACAAGTGTAGGCAGGTAGAAACCCAGGCTCTGTCCTCTCTTTCAGTTGTCATGGGCTGAGTCTACAGGGCCATGTGTAGCTCCAACTTATGAGGAGCCTGGGAGAAGGAGCAGCCAATGTCTTCATGGACTTGTTGTTGTGTTGAGGGTCAGGATTAATTTATTCTATTTTACTATTTATGTGGTATCTATCTATCTATCTAATCTATATTGTATTATCCAGGCCTCCCATCCTCCTCCTATGCACAAAGACCTGGGGAAACAGGGACTCTCTGTGTAGGTCAAGTGTCTTGGAATCCTCCTGGAATCACAGCCACATGCCCTCAGTACTGCTGCCCTGTCACTCTTCACATGTCCACATGGTCCCAGAGTGTAGAGGACACCTGACACCCTGGTCCTGGTCACCTGGATTCCCCTAGGGTGTAGACCCTCGCCGGCAACGTGAGCCCCAGTGTGACCCTAGCACCACTCGGGTGCAGCCCCATCTCCCTCTCTTTGCTACTGCATCAGGTCCTGGAAAGAGAGAGGACAGTGGCCCCTGGAGATGGGAAGGTGCAGGGAGGGTGAGGGTGAGGGTGGGTGGTGAGGGCCACATGCAGAGAGGGCCTTGTCCTGGGGCTCTGCAGCTCACAGGGTACCTGTGGCCCACAGCCAGGGTGTGCTTTACAGTGACTGGGGCAGAGCAGCTGGGGGGCTCCCCACACCCAGGAGGGACAGGTGATGGACAGCTGGGTGTGCACAGCCTGGGATCCATCATGGTGCCTGGCACCCCTGTGTCAGGGTGCTGTCCTCTGCCTCACTAGAGCTAGGTTTCAGTGTAAGTGTGAAAATACAGCTGGAATGGCCAGCTGTTGTCTGATGGAGAGAGATGCTGACATTCTTAGTGATGTGGATGATGAAACACCCTCACATGAGAAAGACCACTGCATACAACACCTCATTGCTTATTCATGAATTTAAAAATATATTCAAATGTCAAATCCATAAGTCTAGTTTATGTATCTAAGTGAATATATTATACTCATAAAAACAGGCTTAAACAATCAAATACAGAATCTGTGCTATTGAGGGGCATTTTGTATGTTAAAAGTGCTCCTAGCAACTACCAGGGCTCAGGGAGAAGCCTAGTGAGCCCCCAGAGCAAGTCCTGAGAGACAGAAAGTACACCACTGTGGAAATTCTCTCTTAATTAAAATGCAATATTATTTTTGTTTGCTAAAAAACAAAAAAAAAGTGTAGAATTATGATTATAGAGAGTTAATTGTAAGGCTAAAAAGGACTTAAAAACAAAGGCAAATCATTGCATTTATATTTTGTCACTGGGCAGGAGAATATCCAGACCCTTCTGAGAGTGGAGGGAGTTCCCCAAGCCATGAAGTATCCACACAGCTCAGGTGATGGCCCTGAGCAGTTCCTGTCATTGCACAGAAAGCCTCAGCTAAAGAGGAGACTGTGCATCCACTGCTGAAAAAGAGCACTCCTGACACACCTCACCTGGAGAGAAATGAGTGGTGTCCAAGGGGAGGAGGCTTCTCTAGGACCCCCATAGCTGGTGCCCTCAGGAGGAGCTGGCTGGTGAGGAGGCTCAGGAATGGGGTCAAGTTCTCTCCTCCTCTGCACGTGCCCCTGGCTGACCTGAGCTCCTGTGTGCTGAGTGCCCCCTGCTGGCCCTGGGCACCTTGCAGGAGGTTTGTGTCTGGGCTCACACTGAGGTCCCCTCACTGTGTCTCTGGCACAGTAATAGGTGGCCGTGTCCTCAGTGGTCAGGGAGCTCAGCTGCAGGGAGAACTGGTTCTTGGACGTGTCTCTGGAGATGGACACTCGGCTCTTGAGGGATGGGCTGTAGTTAGTGTTACCATTATAACATATGTACCCTATGTACTCCAGCCCCTTCCCTTGGGGCTGACGGATCCAGTGCCAGCAATAACCACTGGTGATGGAGTAACCAGAGACAGCACAGGTGAGGGACAGGGTCTGTGAGGGCTTCACCAGGCCAGGTCCTGACTCCTGCAGCTGCAACTGGCACAGGACACCTGGGGAAAAGGACAGTCACACTCTATTAGTCACCGGCAGTCACAACCTCCCTATGGACCCAGGTTTGACGCTGGGGACACTCACCTCGGGGAGCTGTGACCAAGCACAGGACAAGACCCAGCAGCCTCATCTTCTAGTCCACACCTGCCTTCCCAGAGACCTCAGCCCTGTCTGAGCACAGAGCTGGGAGCTCCCACAGCCCAGAGGGCATTTGAACCCATAGCAGGAGGAGGAATTTGCATGTGGGTGAGGCTCTTCTGATATCTGGAGAGGCTGGGGTCAGGCTGCCCAGGTCCTCTGTGCTCCTGAGATGTGTCCCTGTCTTGAACCCAGGTGGAGCTTTACCTGTGAGAGGAGAGCAGTTGGTTTCAGGGGTGCTGGAGGCTGTCAGAAGAGGAGCCCCCCCTCCTGAGCTCAGCGCCTTCCTCAGGACCTGTTCCCTTCCTGGTGCCCAGTCTCACTCACCACACCCTCTCAGGCTCTGGGTGCTGAGTGCTCAGTTCTGAGTCCAGCACACTGCTTTCTCTCCCACTGTCTGCTACTGTGACATGGTCCTTCTGCTTCTGGACAACATGTGACACTGTCATGTTGGTTGTGTGATATAGGTGCAGCCTTCCTCATCTTCTAAATGTCCTGTAATCCAGGACACATCAGCACCAGCAGGGAGACTGGATGCAACATGCGATGGAGACCATTTGGGAAGAGGAGGAGACAGACTGTCTAAGTGGCTGTCCCCAGAGGAGCTTTGCACCTGACATGTGACTTCCCTCTCTATGTCCAGCTCCCTCTTCATCTGCAGAGGTTTCCCTGGATTCCAAGGGATCAGCTCAGTGTAGGCCCCAGGTGAGGAGAGCTATTTGTGAGGGAAGCCGCCCTCGATGAACCCTCCTTAAGTCCTGATGCTCCAGGTTCTGAACAGTTATTGCATTCAGTCGGGCAGGGTAGTGCCAGGTCCAGTAACTTGGGAGCTCCCCCATCTGGGATAACAGGGTGTGGCTCCAGGAGTAAGTGTCACCTGCTGGGGTTGAGTCACACTCACCTGTTCCTTTGTAATCCTACCCCTTCTGCCTTTTTCAGATAGAAAATTCTAAGAAACAGCATCACCCAAATTAAAAGCCCACTTCTGAACGTGCCCCCTCTCTCCTGTCAGCCTCTCTGACCTTCTCTTGTCCCCCTTTTGGGGAGCCTGAGGCTGGGAGATGGAGAAAGCCATCATGAAGCTTATGAAAGGTATTCTGTGTCTGTGTGGTACTTTGTGTCACCCCAAATTCACACAGTGACTTCAGTTCAGCTGCCTGTGCTGGACGGGGGTGGCAGAGTAGAGCAGCCCAGGCCCAGGACGCTGCTGTCTGGACCCTCAGCAGTGACACCACCTGCCTGTCAGGTTCCAGCCCCATCCTCCCCACACGTCTCACTGGGAAATGTGTCTGCAGACCCCGGGGCCAGCCCTGCTCTGGTCCCAGGAGCAGTGCCCATTCTCCATCATCCTCAGGAGGGAGGGTGGAGGGAATGTTGGGGACACTCCTGCCCCAGGGAAGATGGGGTGCACAGCTGAGCAGTCAAAATGCTGCCAACAAAACCAAGGGTCCCTCTCAGCATTGGGTTTAGGAGAAGACCCTGCTCTTTGGAGTAAGGAAACATCTGACCAGCCACAGTGCCCAGTCCTTGCCTTATCTCTGCACATCTCCATGGTACCTGTGGGGTCCTTTCCTGAGCAGCATGAGCCATGCTCCTGGTGCCCAGCCCATTCCTGGGGCAGAGCTCAGTGTGCTGCCTGAGGAGGGTCCTCCTGCAGGTGGGCACTCCCCTGGGGCATGTCCTCTCCTGAGCCCCAGGTCCTGCCCTCTGCGGGCTCCCCTGTGAGGTCAGGGGCCCTCACGGGAAACCAGACCTAATGTGCTCAGTGCAGAGACTGAGCCAGGCCCCGAGGTGCTGTGTCTGTTCCCCTCATCAGTTCCCGCAGTGCCCCACAAACCAGGCACCACCTCAGTGCTTTCTGATTGTATTACTAGGACACTGTGAGTCATGACCTTAAGGGGCATGTCAGAATCCTTAAGTCCTTTCACAGCAGTAGGACAGACACCTTCCCACCAGGCCTGGAGAAGCAGGGTAAGTAACAGACCTCAGCCCAGCAGACATTGACCTCAGGGGAGCTGGGCTGTGCTTACCAGGGAAAGCCCAGGGTCCCTGGCTGGAGAGGGCCTGCAACCCCCATGCAGTACTTGACCTTCCCAGGAGAGGTGCCAGAGCTGGGAGGGGCTGGAGTTGAAGGGACTAAATGGGCAGTTGTGGACACCCTCCAGGGCACCTCTGCTCACCACACTTCACTTCAGAATCCCCTCCACTCTTGTTGGGGTTTGAGTGTGCAGAGTTTAGCTCCCTCAGGCCTGACACTTTGCAAGAGCTGTGGTTGTGATTTAGGTCAGCTGAGGCAAACCTCAGTTAGGAGGAGGAAAAGTTCTCTTCCCCTTATCGAAAGTCACAAGTTCTGCATGGTTTGGCCAAGAGGAAGAAGCTTCCTGCATACGTATCCTGGGAACAGTACATTCTAAAGAAACAAATGCATCCTCAGGGGATTAGATAATGTCTACAAAGAACTTTAAGAGGGTACTTATCAAATAAACAGGAACGATCTGAATTTAGCTCTGTGTATCCCCTGAGGCATGATGTTTGGGCAATGTGGGTAACATGATATTGAAGAATTGCTTGCTTTGTTAGAAGTAGATAAAAGGAACTTGCAAATAAACCTCAGCATGCAGTTGCAATTGCTGCCTTTGCTCTGCATCCCCTGTGTCCTGGTTATTTCATGACCCTTACCCAGGGACCCGAACACTCTAGACGTTCACATACTCTCCCCTTCTTATTATTTCTCCTGCACAGGAGGACGTGCTTTGGAGTGTCCAAGACTGGACAGCCACTTAGGTGCACTCTTCACTGGGTCCTCGGAGCCCAGCCCCAGCCCCTTTCTGGGAGGAGGAGAGACACTGGGTCCTGGCTGGAGGTCTATGTGTGGATAAGATCAACGGGCACTTCCACCTGAATGGACAGACTGACCTGTGGTTGGCAGAGTGTGATGGACAGGGCTGGGGACTGGGTCTCAGGAGGATTGGAGGGAGTGATGTCCCAGCACTCTGCCTCAAAGCACAGCACAGGGACAGGGACTCCCAGAAGGAGGGGGTTCAAGCCACATCTCTACACAGGACACAGGTGCAGGTGGTGGTCAGTTGCCCTCGCAGACCCACAGTCTCATCCTGGTGCAGCAGGGCCATTGTGAAGGAGAAAGGCAGTTCCCCACCCTCCAGGACAGGTGGTCAGACAAGGGGATCCAGCTGTGTGTGGACCCAACTCAGAAGCTGAGTGGCACTAAATAGAGAAGATAAATAAATAAATACCAGAAAACTAGGAGAGAAGAGGGAGGGGCGGGGGAGGGGAGGGTGGAGGAAGGAGGAAGCACTTGTGAAAGAGTGCAGCCACCATGTCCCATCTGCTGTGACCATGTCAGAGGAGCCCCACTGTCCTGTGTGACCATTGGCACTGGGAGTCCTCAGGAAGAGACCCAGGGAGTGTCAAGAAAAACCAATGTATCACAACAGCAGTAGGAGTGTGTGGGGCTGGGTTGAGGCCCAGTGCAGAGCCCTTGTGGGAGGCCTGGTCTGATCCTCAGCACCCGGGAAACAAACCAGTAAAATAAGGCATTGTGCCCACCTACAGCTAAAAGTGTATTAAAATGAAAAGTAAAACACCAGTGTGCTGACTGATGGTGTCAGTGCTGAAATCAAAGGGGACTGGTGGTTTCATGTCTTCCCACAGCTGCTGTGTCTCGAATTTCAAAGGACACACATACAAGTCTCTCTGTCACAATAACCTCAGTGCAAGTCAACCTGAACCTCTGAGGGAAAATCTGTGCATCATCTGATTGGCATTTCCTAATCTGGTGTCTCTCCAACATGTATCCAGCGCACACACCCCGTATTTGCACCCACCTGTGCTTCCCATCCTCCCCCACCTCCCACCCTCCCCCAGCTGTTCTCTCCGTCTTCCCTTTGTTCCTCTTTTCTTTCCCTCTGTACTTTTTACTTTATTCCATGTTTGGTTAAAGTGAGTTTCTGATCATTCCTGTGTGAACTATTGAGTCAGAATTGCCTTCTCCTCACCCACACTGAGCCTAGGCTCATAGAACTGGAAGAGGAGTCGCCCACTGACAGTACTTACTGGTGTCCTCCTTACCTCTTTGGAACATTGTTACTTTCAGCACAATCTTTTCTAAGAACCCTGGAGATTGAGGTTAGCAGTTGGATTTGGCTAAACCATGTCATGATGCTAAGATAAAGTGACAGTGCTTGACTAAAAGGTCCCTTCAGAAAGAGGAAAAGGAATCCAACTAGCAGAGGCACAAATTGAAGACCTGTGAAAACACAAGGAAACAGACAAACAAAAGTTTCCCCCAAATCAACAATCCCTCAACAAAAAACCACATATAGTGAAAGGAATGAAATTCCAGGGAATGACTTTTAAATTTGATTACCAAGATGATTAGTGGGGTGAAAGAAGATCTGAGGAATGCACTACTAACATACAAGAGATGAAATCTTCAAAACAGAGCTACGGATTCTGGGAGGAAACCCTTGAGAAATTTGGAAAAGAAAGACGCCATGCATCATGTTGAGTGCAGTTGAAACTATCACAAACAATTTCAATTACACGCAAATGAATGTCAGGCCTTGAAGACAGGATATAGACCTTGAATATTTAGTGAGTAAGGAAGAAAAGACCATGACCAGTACACACAAGAACTCTGAAACAACCCCCTTCAGAGTTGCCCTGAACCTCCATTCCTTTTTCACTTCCACTGACTCTGAAGAGAGCAACCTACTCAGTGGAATTGAAAAGGAATCAGGTACAGGGCAAATGCAGTCAGAATCCTTTCAATGACATAATATAGAACAATTTACAGATGTTCAGAAGGAGATGCATATCCACATTTAGGAGGAACACAAAACCCCAAATAAACAAGATCCAAAAGAGCCCATCCAGATCACATAACAATCAAAATGCCCAAGGAAAAGGGACAGAATATTTATAGCCACAGGAGAAATATCCCAAGACACACTGAGAGGTAAACAAGGAAGGGCAATTTCTGTCTTCAGCTGAGACTCTGTCATCCTGGAGGGCTTGGAAGGGAAAAGCCAAATTCTGAAAGAAAGCAATTTCCAC